ATTAACATTTATAAGGAAACTGCTCCGATACTTGCATTCAACATACCTGCACATTACTGATACCTGCCTTAAAAATTTGCAACTATTATCAATTATCAAAGACAGTATTACGTTTACCTGCACTGGCTCTACACTTACCCTAATTTTACAAGCTATTATTTATTTTGCTCATCTCGCACAACAACGAAAATGGCAATTATTTTATGTAGTTATATAGATAACACTGGTCGACGGCCAAAATTTACCACAGACGCCGTTATGAAATTCGTATGTAAAATCACCCCCTGATTCCGAAAATCAAGGTTATTTTTAATTTTATGGTACCGTTTTTGAGATATTTAATAATGCCGCTGATGCGCACTTAAACACAAAGGCAGCAAAGCAAAATATACTGTATATTATGAGAGTTTTATGGTTGATTTTATTTAATTTGCCTGTTAGTGCAGTCTGAATGGAGTTCCAACTTCTACTAGTCGATGTTGCAAAATAGAAATTGGATACAATAAGATCTCTGGTGTGCTCAGATTTTGAAAATATCAGCGTGTCATAAAGACTTGGTAGTGATTAGTCGGTAAAGAAATATAAAGCTCCGGGCCGTTTGTAATCATGTATTTCACATCCCAGCAAACTCGTCCTCCACTTCGAAATGTGGCCAAATTTTCTTAAATCATAAAGGTACCGAGTGACATGATTGGATAGTACAGATAATTTATGAGCTGAAACAGAGTCCAATTTATTGTAAACCTGCTCAGAATATATTATTAATGGTATTATCAACTGAAGTACAAGCCCATGCCTAGTAGTATTGGGTGTAAATACTGCACTTTGGCGAGATTTCTGAGAGTACCATAAACTTTACTAACCACCGAATTTATGTGATCAATGTAGGCCAAAGACGAGTTAATTATAAAGCCCAAATTATTTTATTACCAATAACTAAATGGGGTATGGCAGTAGCATTAAGTTTCTTCTTTGCCATTGGCAATACATATGATTTACTTGAGATCAGGAGAAGATTATTATCTTTAGACCATCGCTCTTTGGCAGCCTGGCCACAATTAAGTTGGCTTACTAATACATCAATATTTCCAAAGTTATTAGATAGATATATCTGAATATCATCCACATAGGCATGAATATTTGCAAATTTACATTTGAGAAAAATATGATTTATGGATAAACTGAATAAAAGAGGACCAAGGACTGAACCTTGAGGAACCCCCGAGGAAACCGGCTCAAGTTTTAGAGATATTTGTACCGATTCGTACACACTCGGATCCATGGGCGTAGCCAGGTTGGGGCAGGGGGGTGTTCGAGCCTCCCCCCCCTAATTTTAAAATTTTCCTTATATATATTTTACCCTGAAATGCCAGCTTAATAGGGTCAAATATCTTTAAAAGTGAGGGTAAAATACTAATAGGCGGAAAATCATTTGGAGTACTAGCAGATGAAAGCGATCTAGGCAAACCTTGTCGAAAACAAGTAAAAAGTCTAAGTTCGGGCGGAGCCAAACATTAAATACCCGCTGCAAGTAATCAATCTAGTTTTTTCACCTTTCAGGGGTGGTTTTACGTCTATTTCAAACACCTTCGATAGAACGTTCAGTTAGATATAATGAGATTAACTTACGTTGATAAATGCTTCACCCCCATTTTCCAAAATTCCATAATAATGTTAATTCTTTTCAAGCGATTGTTGTTATTACCAGTTACTCTGGTTTACAGCAAAAATGTTCTATGGATGCCACTATCAAATTCCCATGTAGAATCCCTCTGAATTCTGAAAATCGAGATGTTTTTTTTCTATGGATAAATTGTCAAGATATTTGCAATTTACCGTTATTCAACTTTAAAAAATAGTGGTTTCACTTAATCACGTATGTATATCTTATGAACAATTGAATAACCGTAACACGAGATACGGGAAATGAAAGCAACTAAAATTCTCCATAAAACATATACACATCACTATTCGATAGCCCTGATAGGTTCTGAGTAATTAATTAATCATTTCTGACGCCTCTGGTTTTCGTTGTAAAAACTCTACCTACTCAGGTGTACGTGGCATTACTCATATACTATTTTCTGGTCATATTTCGTACAAAAAATCCTTGCGCATTTTCATTTTACCAATCATTATTTTCTTATTTATCTATCGATTTTCTTAATTGGTAGCTTAGTTTTTTTTTCTAAAGGAACAGGCTTTAACACAAGTGCAAAATATTTACACAGACACTGTTATTTTTTTACCTTTTTCCCTATTAAAGTTTGAATTTTTTCCAACAAAAAAACAAAAATCTGGAATGATTAATTAATTTCTGAGAAACTATCAGGGCTATCGAAAAGTAGAGAATTTTATTTTCTTTCATCTAATGTACCTCACATTACGATTATTTACTTGATTGGTAAGATATATTTGGTTAAGTGGAACCATTATTTTTTTAATAATAATAACGGTAAATTGCCAATAACGGTAAATTGCCAATATCTCAAAAAAGTTTCCATACAAAAATAAATTAACTCGATTTTCGGAATCAGCGAGCGATTCTAGAAACAAATTTGATACTGGCGTCTGGAGAACAAAATCAAAATTAAAATTTGTATACAGTGTTATTGGTAAAATTAGCGTCCTATCTATCTAACTTTGTGTGGCAAGCACAATAATCGTACGGAGTGGTATAAATTGATCGAGCGGTTACCGAGATACAGATATGTGGTCATAAGTGGGCGGGGTCACGCCCATTTTCCAAAATTTTATTATAAGCGTACTCTTTTGCTAAAGAATTATTGCAAAAATCAATTTTGAATAAATTAGCTTAAGTATTTACNTTTCCAAAATTTTATTATTAGCGTACTCTTTTGCTAAAGAATTATTGCAAAAATCAATTTTGAATAAATTAGCTTAAGTATTTACTGATTTATCGAAGCTTTCGTATTTGTCTAAATTATCGTTATATGGGAAGTGGGCGTAGTTATTGTCCATTTGTTTTTTTAATTTTCAGCCGGTTGGCCAACAACTGTACCAATTTTTGGCAGAAATTGGTGGAGCGGCTCCCAAGATATACACATGTAGTCGTAAGTGGGCCTGGCTTCGCCCATTTTCCAAAAATATATAATATTCTCATTTTCATGATTGTAAATATCAATTTTGAGTGAATAAGCTTAAGTCGTTACTAAAATATTGAGGATTTCGTATTTCTGAAAACTACCGTTATATAAGAGGTAGGCCTGGTTATCGTCCGCTTTCGCGCATTTTCAATACCATCCGTCCTACGGTGAAAAGAATCTTAATCTACTTCATAGCCCAAGAAATCACCGCTAATAATACGGTGCAAAAAAAAATGTCACGAAATACACCCGAAAGAGAACCTAGTGTAGATAGTAGCTATGGTCGATTACAACATCAAAATAGGTTCCGTATAGTTCCTGAGCCCTCCATTTTTCATTTATTTTAAAAACAACCGTTATGTTCGTACTTGATGCACCTGTCTATTATCAGCTCGACTATTTTTCAAAACCGAACATGTTTTGAATAGAGGATTTATATTTATACCTTTGAAATGATGTATGTATAGCCAGGGCCGCAAACCACTCCGAAAATCGGTGCGGTTCAGTTAAGTGGTTCGAACCACTTAGAAAAAGTTTGCACCGGTTGACGAGTATCCCTGAACCACGATTCGGTTCGGTTAAAATAGCTCAATTTCTTTATGCTTAAGGATACAAGTATTACAAAAATATAAAAATTAAATGCTTTGTTACTGAGATCAATACTTGGTACGGAAAGTAGAAAACTTCAACCAAATTGCATCAAGGTTTCAAACTTTTAAATCATAACTAAAAAAATC